CGCAACTTTTTTTGAGCAACAGGATCATTTGCGCAACAGGATCATTGGCGCAACAGGATCATTGGCGCAACAGAATCATTGGCGCAACAGGATCATTTGCGCAACAGGATCATTGGCGCAACAGGATCATTGGCGCAGCAGGATCATTTGCGCAGCAGGATCATTGGCGCAACAGGATCATTTGCGCAACAGGATCATTGGCGCAGCAGGATCATTGGCGCAACAGGATCATTTGCGCAGCAGGATCATTGGCGCAACAGAATCATTGGCGCAACTCGCCATAACTTTTTTCTAAGTTATGGCGAGTTGAATTCAGAATGCCAACCTTTATGATTTCGGTTTCTTTTTGTAGCTCAATAAGTGCAATAAGAGTACTGTAATAGGGAATACTGTAACTGCTATGCTTACTGCAATAGGGATAGTTAAAGCATTTGTTCAGAAAGTAAAAAGATCGAGAGTTCAATCCCCTTCCCGGAAATCTTTCTTTACCATATTCATAAACAAATTCAGAATGCCAACCTTCTCTCTACCAAATTCACAAGCCAAATCAAACGGTGTCTTTCCAGTTTTATCAACAACACATAGATCACATTTATAAAAAATAAAATAACTGTGCCTCCATCTTCTCATTTACCTCTCATTCACTCATTTCAATTCCATTCAACCATTCAACTCAACCATCCGGTCCTTTCCCCATTTTTCTATTCTTTTTTCCTTCATTCCATTCCCAGCAATTCCCTATTGTCATTCAAGGGATAGAAAAAGAAATCACATAACAGAAAGAGAAAAGTGATACTTTCCTTTCCAATCTCATTCTCGTTCAATCAAAAGCTTTTCAGATTTGATTTGATTGTGAGAAAACGGGTGAAGAAGCGAAGGAAATGAATAAAGAAAAAAACTATCAAAATACGTTTCACTTAAATTTGAAAATGTTACAATTTAGAGAATTTCTTTAAATGAAATAGGAAACTGAATTTGAAGTTGGTTTTCGACTTTGTGAATGTTTTGGAAGATGATCCTGTTGCGCAAATGATCCTGTTGCGCCAATGATCCTGTTACGCCAATGATCCTGTGGCGCAAATGATCCTGTTGCTCAAAAAAGTTGCGGAAACTAGCCTCCTCTAATTTTAATGAAAAAACAGAAAATTTTTGAGAACTATTATACTGTAGAAAAGTTATTTTATATTTATTCTGTTTTATTTAAATTAAAACAATCTCAATCTCTACAATCACTTCTTTTTACTTTATCTTTGGTGTTTCTTAGTGAATGTTTTTGAAGATGCTAAAGAAAGTTATTCTGGTGATGGGACAAGTAGTAAACTTTTGAAATGAAAATGCAAAATATAAAAGTCTTGTTTCCAGACAATAATCATATTTTGTGTGAAGTTGTGAAAGTGACTTTAAAAGTGACAAAAAGAGATCTTTTCTCAAGCTATGAAACGGATGACTGATCGCAAAAGTCAAACTTCCGGTCAAAAATTCTTTTCCCAAAAGATCTAAAGAAAGGTTTGTTTGCAAAGAAAACAAAATTTATGAATTTTGGTAATAGGGGTAAATAGGGGTGAGAACGGCCGCAGTGCCATAAAATTGTGTGTTTAACCTTTATGTCTTATTATGTACCCTTTGTTTGTATCACATTATTGGTTTTCAATAAATGTATTTTTTAAAATATGAATTTAATAGTATTAAAAGATATTCAGAGATAAAGAAAAGATAAAAGTTTTGCTTTTTAAAAGATAAAAGGAAGTGTTGCTAGATAAAAGATAAAAGGAAGTGTTTAAAAGATGAAAGGAAGTGTTTAAAGTGTTTAAAAGATAAAAGGAACTGTTTAAAAGATAAAAGGAAGTGTTTAAAAGAAAAGAAAGTGTTTAAAAGATGAAAGGAAGTGTTTAAAAGATGAAAGGAAGTGTTTAAAAGAAAAGGAAGTGTTTAAAAGATGAAAGGAAGTGTTTAAAAGAAAAGGAAGTGTTTAAAAGGTAAAAGGAAGTGTTGCTTTCAATCAATTACCCAATAAGAATCTAAAGATTTCAGAGCTAAAGATAATCTAAAGATTAAAGTTTTTGATAAAGAAATAACCTTTCCCTCTCTATTCTTTGTGCTCTCACGTAATCGCTGCTATCTGGCACAGCAGCAAAAGATTAGTTACCCAATAGAAGGCTCAAAAAGAAAGAATTAGTATAGAAAATTCTTGAATTGATATTTAAAAAGAGTTCAAAGCTACGAAGTACAACACTTCCTTTGTGCTCTCTTTAATTTTACAATTCTATCCGTTATTAGAATGTTGAGATGCTCAGTTGAAGTTGAAGTTATTCAATTTCACTTTCTATAGCCATTTCTATGACCATTCTAATAACGATAAATCTATAAAGAAAATCTTTCAGTTTACAGTTAAAGTTAAAGCTTTTAAAATCAATTGAATGATGTAAAGGTGTTAAAATTGAAAGTAAAAGTAAAATGGAAAAGTATTGCACTATTTTGCATGTAATTATATGTACAACTACTGGACAATGAAATATTTAAAAAACGATCGTCACTTTCGCGCGTCTGTAACTCCCTTGTCTTTGCGTTTAAACTATTAGTGTTATACATTTTCTGAAAGCTCTTTTCAAGGGCTACACAATGGTAAGATTAATATTTACAAATACGGTAAAGACAATGGAGTTACAGACGCGTGAAAGTGACGATCTTTTGATATATGATATTTCATTGTCCAGTAGTGTAATTTCTCGATAAAACTTCAATTTATTATCACGATAAGTATGCAAGCATGAAAGTGATAAATTATTTGAAAGAGTGGAGTCAATATTTCAAAGACAAGGTCACCGCCTCATTTCCTTTCTTCGTTTCACCTTTCCTTTTTGATTCACTCCAAATATTTGAATTTGATCAACGATTCAACGTATCAATGACACAAAAGAGAGAAAAGAAAGAAAAGAAAATGGGAAATGATTCCTTAAGCAGAATAAAAGTCAAATAAAAGAGTGAACTACCAATCCAAGTAAAAGCATAAATTATAAGTTTCTTAAATTTATGCTTACCTAACAAATACTTGTTAGGTAAGCTTAAACATACCTCACAAGTATTTGAATTTGATCAACGATTCAACGTATTAATGACACAAAAGAAAGAAAAGAAAGAAAAGAAAGAGAATGGGAAATGATTCCTTTTTCAGACACTAATCACAATAATCAGTCAAATAAAAGAGTGAACTACCAATCCAAGTAAAACCATAAATTATAAACTTCTTAAATTATAATAAATACTTGTTAGGTAAGCTTAAACGTACCTAACAAGTATTTGAATTTGATCAACGATTCAATGTATTAATGACACAAAAGAAAGAAAAGAAAGAAACGAAAGAAAAGAAAATGAGAAATGATTCCTTTTTCAGACACTAATCACAATAATCAGTCAAATAAAAGAGTGAACTACCAATCCAAGTAAAACCATAAATTATAAGCTTCTTAAAGCTTAAACATATCTAACAAGTCATCTGTAATCAGCGATCTTTTTAGGTGTACTTTATGTCATAAACTCACCCCTTCTGTCACATCTATTTTCCGAAAAAAACAATTTCTGTACTAGATCTGGGGAATTTTCGGTGTGAACGCCAATAGATGGGCAACGAAAAAACGGCATATCTCTGCAAATTTCACTCCGATCTTTTTTGATTTTAATATCAATTGACGCAGAATTTCATTTTCTATCGATTGAATTTAATAAACAAAAATATTAAAGTGAAATTGGTCAAGATATGGCATTTTTCCGTTGGATATGGCAGTTTTTTCGTCAATATATGCCATATCTTAGTACCAATAGGTCAATATTGATGTTTAAACCGAAAATTCCCAGATCTACAGTACTGGACAATGAAATATGATATTTGAAAAACGATCGTCACTTTCACGCGCGCTCAAATACGTCAAAAAATACGGTATTTGTAAATATTAATCTTACCATTGTGTAGCCCTTGAAATGAGCTTTCAGAAAATGTATAACATTAATAGTTTAAACTCAAAGACAAGGAAGTTACAGACGTGCGAACGTGACGATCGTTTTTCAAATATGATATTTCATTGTCCAGTACTGTACGTCCTCGACTTGACCGGTCTTTTACTGAGCTAATTCACACGAATACAGATCAAGCACAACCCTTAAGCCTTAAATTTAGAGAAAAAAAGCTAGGAACCTGCCGATGGGATCGAACCCTCGACCCCCTAACTACGATACAAAACCTCTATCCAGTCGACCATGAGTGTCTATCGCCCGGCCAGTCTTTTACTGAGCTAACCTTTTGCCGTCGCAATCAAATCGGATTCCTTTGTCTCAATCATTGATGCAATGACTGGGATCTCTTTACTGATCGTGCCAAAATCTTGATTCAATTTCAAACATGATATTTCATTGTCCAGTACTGTATCTATCTTTACAATCCGTATCTCATCTGTATCGTGGAATCGATTGATTGGAATCGTGGAATCAATTGACTCAAGTGTATATCATTTCACAATCATTTCACTAAGGGATTTTTACAAAACAGGAATTGAAGAGTTACTAAAATCAAGAATTGTCTTACATTATTTGAATCCTGTAAGATTGAAGATTGTTTTTTTTAAAAGAAAATTGATAAAACTCTTTGTTCGTAAGAAGAAAATCTGTTCACCAGAAGAATTTGCACAAAAAAATGACTAAAGAAGCTCGAGAAATGATTAGGCAAAAGGTAAAATGAAAAAAAAAGAAACAATCAACAAAAGCCTTGAGCAAAAGAAAAGATTATATACAAAGCAAGTTGAGAAAGTATGCGATACAATTTTATATTACAATTGCAATTACAAATGCACTCCTGTCCTGCAGTAGTAAGTAAAAATGGCAATGTTGTTGTTGTTGTTGTTGTTGTTGATGATGTTGTTGTTGATGATGTTGATGTTGTTCAAAAGTTTAAAACAAACAAAATTATTGAAGCTGTAAATAAGAAAACAAAGAAAATAGAAGAAAATTCAATGATCGATTGGCTCAATTTCTTCGGAATCATTCTGTACAGTTGATTCGTTGAATTTTTGTGGTTCTGCTTTCTAAAAGAAATCAAGAATCTCATTTGTATTTTAATAAACAAAAGATAATATTAAGATTTAGCCATTAATATAAATTCTATGCTAGAATACAGAGCTTTTTAATCTAAAACTTGATCTTGTTCTGTATTTCTGATCTTTTAGACTTAAGAATAGAAGCACATCTTTTCTGGCGCAAGCTTTTCCTTAATTTTCCTTAATTTTCGGTACTTTTCGGTATACCCCCTAAAAATCAAAACTTATAAGTGTTATCAAGAATTAGTACTCAACCTAATAAAAAGTTCTCTCCAGAATTTCACTTTACAAGATGGTTTCCATTGGCAACTTTAAGCCAATGGAAACCATCTTATACCATCAATCATCAACCTCTGCTCAAGTGACATCAGACTAGGCTAAGATGGTTTCCATTGGCAACTTTAATTTCACTCTACAAGATGATTTCCATTGGTAACTTTAAGCTTTAAGGAAACCATCTTGTACCATCAATCATCAACCTCTGCCCAAGTGACATCAGACTAGGCTAAGATGGTTTCCATTGGCAACTTTATTCGTGGGATGATGCAGAAGGGAATTGCCGTCAAATGAACTTTCATCTTATATCGATTCACACAACAGATGAAGAAGAATTCGTTTATGGTGATTTTAAAAGAATTCTTGGTACTTTTCGGTTATACCCCCGCCACCCAAACAAATGTTTCCTTGCTGAAGTGGCTAATCGGAATACCAAGACGCTCGTTGACAAGATTTTGGAATTTATCACCCGGATCGATGATTTGCTGGTTACTAACGTTAATGACCTCTGCCCAAGTGACATCAGGCTACGCTAAATTCACCCAGACTTTTGTGGAATTTAGCCTAGCCTGATGTCACTGGGCAGAGGTCTTTAACGTCAAAAAACCTCTACCGAACTGACATCAGGCTAGGCTAAATTCACAAATGCACGTATTGATGCATGGGGGGGCGCGCTAACTGCATAGTACCGTTTTTTAAAATTTTGGAGTGGCGGGGGTGGCGGGGGTATAACCGAAAAGTACCTAATTTTCTTATGAATTTGAAAATTGAGTTTGCCAGAAAGAGTAAGCCTAGAATTGATCTTCTCTATTCTCTATTCTTCCATTTGTCAACTCAAAAATGATCATCAAACTTGAAATCTGTTAATGAATAGTAAAACTTATCTAATAAAAGTATCTAATAAAAGTTTATGATCTAACTATAACTCGAAGATTAGTAAACCTTGATCTCCTTGCTAGGATTGCGCTTTTTGGCGGCAGCGATTGAATCTCGGACAAAGTTGAGCACGACTCCATATGTGGGAGATGTTCGTTCACTCGGCTTGCAAACATTATGATGTACCTGAACATTATAGTTTCTAGTCTGCTTTGCCCTGTACATTATAACATTGCAATTTCTAAAGTTGAAAGTTCAAAACCAACCTCATCAATGTGATACAAGACACCACTTCCAAAGACAGCCGACTCGGTGGGCACGATAATTCCTGAATTCTTATTATAAAAACATTTATTCACACGAATACAAATCAAGCACAACCCTTAGTCTTAAATTTAGAGAAAAAAAACCAGAAAGCCGCCGGTGGGATCGAACCCTCGACCCCCCCGACTACGATACAAAGCTTCTAGCCAGTCGGCCATGAGTGTCTATCGGATGGCCGGTCTTTTACTGAGCTAACCTTTTGCCGTCGCAATCAAATCGGATTCCTTTGTCTCAATCATTGATGCAATGACTGGGATCTCTTTACTGATCGTGCCAAAATCTTGATTTAATTTCTCGTTTTGTTGGTTCTTCGAATGGAGAAATCGGACATCTTCTGATGGAGTAAAGGGGAAATTGTAGTCTCCCCATTCAGCGATTGGACTCCCACGATGTGGAGTGGCGATGAAGAGGACACCCACCTAGAAATGTTTAAAGATCAGAAGCTATCAAACTGTTAAAGAACAGCTTCAACTTAAAATTTCCCTCTATTGCACAATTCCCTTTAAGAAAGTGACTCAGCTTATTCAAAAGTCAGCCTTCAAAAAAAGCCTTCAAAAAAACAGCCTTCAAAAAACAGCCTTCAAAAAAACAGCCTTCAAAAACGCAACCGTTTTTCCTACTCCATAGTACAGTTAAATCAGTTTTTAAAGAAATAGCCTATAATTTCCTTACCGTATTCTTTCTTAATTCCTCCGAATCGAGAAGCATTTTCTTGGCGAGAAGTCCACCCATCGAATGACAAATGAAAACAACGGGACGAGAGCCAATTCCAGCCGATGAAAGTTGCTTCACAAAACGCTCAGCTCGTTGCTGAAAAAGCAAAGCTAGATAATGAAATACGGTAGATAATAGATAGCTCAATAAATCTGTAATTCAATAATTCACATACCGGTAAGGAGTCAACAGCACCGGATGAGTGCAGCAAGTAGGACGGGTAGTTGACGCCGAGGATTCGCATTGAATCGTTGATATCAAGAGGTAGCCAGTCCTAAAACATGAAAATTGAAGTTCTGTAACTGATTCTTAAAACTCACTTTTGGCCAGCATTCTGAGATCAATTTTGTTCGATCATCTTTTTGTCGCCATGTATAGAGAATGCTTCCACAAAGGCCGTGAATCAAAACAATGTCTACCTGAGCAAAATTTCTATTTTAAGCTTAGTTTTTATGTATTAGATTTTTAGAAAATCAATCTTAGAGATAATAGAAATTGGTTATTTGAATAAAAACTAACAACAGGTTCAAAGTTATTGAATAAAAACTAACAACAGGCTCTCCTTGACTAATATGAAGCTCATAAACATCTGATGGTAACTTGTAGGGAACAGAGTCGAGGGTATGGAGAGCGTTTCGGCAAATCTGAAAAGATTTGTTGATTTTCTGGTAAGAAATACTATTCAATATGAATGTGAAAAACAAATAAACAACTTCTACTGCCCTAATACCCTAAAGAAAATAATCCATGAGAAAAAAGGGCAAAGACTGGGATCGAACCCGTGACCTCCCCGACTAGGATACGAGACTCTTAACCACTCGGCTATTGCTACTCAAGAGAGGTTACGAGAAATTAAGTTTAAATGACCTTGTGTGCAATCAATCGCTCCTCTAGCGTCTCCCCGCGTGTAACGAGATTTCCTAAGATTTGCAGCCATTCTAAAATATATTTAAGTAATTAAATAAAGATAAATTTAATTCAATTTCTTTATGCATATTGCTTTTTTAAATTCTGCTTTAAAAAAGCTCTCTATAACACTTTTTCTTTACAGTAAATCTAACACTTTCATTTTGCCAAATTTCTAAGCCAAAGTCAGATCTCATTTTGTCGCACCTGTCGAGAAAATCCTTTCCGCATACTCTTGTCCATTTAACGCAACGTTGGCTAATATTCTTAAAGTAAGTCGAGCGATTTCCGGCGTATCACCATCGAATAATTTGAAGACATTGAAGAGAAAATCCACAACATAGATATCGACCGTATCAGGAGAAAATTGATTCTAGAATTTGTTTTACTTTGGCTTAGGCTTAGGTTTTGATTAGAAATGGTTTTGATTAGGCAAAAGTTTACTTCAGTTTCGATGAAGAGGATTTGAAGTAATCGTTGTAGTCGCTCGACTTGAGTGGGACGCCAAACCTATGAATTTATATATTGGGTTGTCCAGTTATGAATTACTATTTTGTAAATTTCTCAAGATTTCGAACAGATGTATATGAGTGTTATCTATGATTCGAAAGCTGAAGATCTCCTCTACATTTTGGAATAAACAAGTTTTTGAATTTGTTCAGCTTTTGGGCAAATTGACTGCACAGAAGAAGAGGTGGCCAAAAAATGGAAGGGTGTCTTTGGATCAAGTTTTGGCTCCGCTCAATTTGAGTTAACCGTTTGATGTTTGGTCAATAGATATATCAATATTATATATCATTCGAAAGCTGAAGATCTCCTCTACATTTTGGCATAAAAAAGTTTTTGAATTCATTCAACTTTTTGGGGAAATTGACTGCACAAAGGGAGAGGTGGTTTTCGAAAAAAAAAACCCATTCCAGCTTGGCTATTCCTCAAGTTTTATGGTGTAAAATAACCGCCCAGAAAAGGAAAGAAAAGTAAAGATGCTCTGAAATTGTTATATTTTTAAAAAAGTTGTATTGATATATCTGTTGGCCAAAGATCAAACAGTTAACTCAATTTGAGCGAAGCCAAAACTTGATCCAAAGGCACCCTTCAAATTTTTTGGCCACCTCTTCTTTTGTGCAGTCAATTTGCCCAAAAGCTGAACAAATTCAAAAACTTTTTAGATCAAAATGTAGAGGAGATCTTCAGCTTTCGAATAATACTATATAATATATCTTTTTAATATAAAACTAATATAGATATAATATATCTTTTTCTTGATCTTTCGATCTTGATCTTGATTTCGGTATCTTGAGAAATTAACAAAATAGTAAAAAACGCGCATTCATAACTGGACAATCCAATAATATTTGTCAATTCTTAAGCTTTATTTATTAATTATTAGATATTGATATTATTGTTTTGTCTTTGTACCTGCCAATCCTCACAAGACAAATCCTCATCAAGACACGGTGATCGATGCAACCAATCGACACCTCTTTTCCACGATGGACCAAGGTCAAACTAAAGAATTTATTACAAAAAAATTGTCATTATTTATAAAACCAACTTTACTTAAAGCGTTCTGAAAAAGAAAATCATCGTCTTCTCGTTTACATTGATGAACACGAGCTTGTCGAACAATCTCCGATCCAACGCCAGCGAGAATTCCCAATGATCGAATCGATAACTTTTTCAAGTATCTCGGTTGACGATCTGAACTTGTGCTTTAAAAAATATTAGTCGTTTTTTCAATCAAATCCTTTTTTTGCAATCAAATTCTATCTATCTGATACTTTTTAAAGTCTGCCTGGCTTTTTGTGCTGGCTTTTTGCTTGGTAAAAACTTTAACCAAGCAAATCAAACCAAACCAGCAAACCAAACCTTGGTGAACCAAGCAAAAAGCCAGCAAAAACCCTTTACAAAGATTTTAATTTAATACTAACCAAAATCAAAATTCGAAATATATCTTAGAGCCTCTGGAGTTTCCTTGTTGTGATTCAAGAATTCGACAGCTTCATCAATCGATTTAATCTTCACGTGATTCTCCGTCTTTCCCCATCCATACCAAGCCGAATAAATTGCGCTGAAATAGATTTTCAATCAAGTTTAAACTTAAGCTTTAGAGCTGAATCTCAAGTTTTAAGATAAAGCAAGCTAAAGTAAACTTTTGTCCCTTGTCACTTACCTGATCGCAGCGGTTGGGGCAATATATTTCGTCATGAGCATCCACTTTACATCCTGGAAGAAAAACATTATGTTCGAAATGAGTCAAAGCTAAGAAAATGAAAGGAGGAACGTACTTAAAGAGGGAAAAGGAAGAGAAGCACCACGTGGTTCAAGTTGGAAAAAAAGATTGGTGGTGTGACCTGGAGAGGAGAAAAAAAGAGAAATTGTGATGGGGAGACTACACGTGACTTGTCGATTGGGAAAACCCCGTGTGTAGACAGATTCTTTTTCCCTGGGATTGCTCATTGTCAATGGGGCAGCGGGTCATTGCGTTCGATGGAGCGGCTCGTAGCTGATGAAATGGGGTGAGGGGTTTGGGAAAAAAGATGGAGAGGAGTAGACGGCTTTTTATGAGTAGACTTTGGGTAACAGTTCAGTTTGAGTTCTTCTGAGTAGACTTTGGGTAACAGTTCAGTTTAAGTTCTTATTGAAAACAAATAATGTGATACAAACAAAGGATACAGAATAAAACATAAAGGTCTAAACACACAATCACTGCGGCCGTTACCCCTATTACCCTTATTACCCAAATGTTGTGAAAGAAAAAACCCACTTGGTGGGAAAAAGAACACATTTTTATCTTGATTGAACCCTCGACCTTCCGCTTAAGAGACAAGACTCCTAACCGGCCATCTGACCCTAAAAAAATTTGGAACGCTTCACGAATTTGCGTGTCATCCGTGTCATCTTCTGAGCAGACTTTGGATAACGGTTCAGTTTGAGTTCTTCTGAGTAGACTTTGGGTAACGGTTCAGTTTGAGTTCTTCTGAGTAGACTTTGGGTAACGGTTCAGTTTGAGTTCTTCTGAGTAGACTTTGGGTAACGGTCCAGTTTGAGTTCTTCTGAGTAGACTTTGAGTAACAGTTCAGTGAAATAGTTTGTTAGGATTGATTTGAGAAACACTTTTAATTACGCAACTTGATCTCAAAGGTTTTAATACAAAATGAGTCAGACATTTGTGTATAGTTTCTTCAACAATCTATAATGAACAAAGCAATAATGAAATCGTAACTGATAACAGCAACCATTTTTCTATTTTATAGACTTTAAAGGTAAAATCAATGATTTAATTTATCATTTAGACAACAGTTTACTGTATTTTTCGATATTTTAAACGTAAAACCAAAATCCTTAAGCCCATTGGATCCAATTGGTAAAGTTTAAACGATGATTTACCGTAAATACTGTAATCGTACAGTCGCGTAGTCGCAAAAGTTTTTTAGTATTTTAGTATTTCATTTTTTTCAAAGCGCCCATACTTTCAAAAGTTGCGTCTTTGGTATCAAAAAATAGCCCTGAATTTCAGCTATTTTTTGATATCTAAGCGCGCATTGTCGCATAAACCAGTGTCGAGAAAAACTTGTTCAAAGCTAGACTACGCAACACTTTGCACCGTCATTATGGGGGTGGGGTACTATTACAGTACCGAACAGTTACAGTTTACGGTAGATGTTTTAAATCAAAGCAAATACTTGGAATGAATTTATTTACAAATTTAACGACTTAAACACATCAAAAAAGTTCATTGAACTTAAATGTAAAACCTTAACAGAAAATATATGAAGATTTCTGTTTACTCAAAGGACTGCTGTTGTTCTTGTCGTTTCTTATTTGCATTGATCGCATGCTCAACAATTCTCCTTGAATCCCCTTCTGGATGTCCATATTGGTGCTCAATGATTTCATTCTTTGTCCTCTTTCCACCTTTGAGGTGAACCTCAGGTCCTCCATCTTTGTCAAAGTCTTTTGCCATCGCTTCAGCGCTTGAATAGTTGTCCATCTCTGTAAAATTAATGATTAATTTTGGATCATATCATCCGATAAAAGTTCATTTTTGATCTCGATCACTAATCAAGCTTGACTTGAGCTTCTGCTTAACCTTGAAAACCAAGAACAATTGAAATTGTGGCTGACAAGTCTAATAGGAAATTGCCTGGACAATTCTTAATTTTCTGCTATTCCTAATACATGCATAAGAAATTTGGATTTCAACATTTTCATAAATTTCCAACAATAGAAGCCTGATATCGATGAATTGTTTTGGATAGACATTTAATCATAGAGAGACTAAATCTATGATTAATTGCTGTAGTTATCTTAAAAACATCATAGTCCTGTAGTAAGACAGTACTTTAGCCTTAATCTTCTTGAAAAGAATAAAATGATTAGCTAGTTTTATTAGGTAAATGCATAAGAAATGCGGATTTCAACATTTTTGATAAATTTCCAACGATAGAAACCTGATATCGATGATATAATCGAGGAATGTTATATACTATTTCAAAGCTGTAAATCTCCTCTACAAAATAGGCTAAAACGTGTTTCAATTGATCGAACGATTGAAGAAATTTCGAGGGTGAAATGCGAGTGAAGGAATCGAACCAAAAAAGGAATCGAGTCACTTTAGGGACAAGTGCAGTGTGGTCAAAATAGAGTTACCTTCCCAAAATTGAAGATTTAAAAAAAAGGATAACTAACTAATTTATTAAGAAAAGTCAAACAGAAATGCATTTACAGAAATTTAGATAGAGTGTAAGTTCAAAACCCTCAAAATTGTCAAAAAAAACCGGCTTTTTCACAAAAAAGAAAATTTATTGTAAAAACAAAGTTTTTCCATGAAATGATTCCAACCATTAATTATTTTGAGGGATATTTGAATGATTTTAGGGCCCTCATTTTCCACTATATAGTCAAAATCCTCTCTCTTGTGAAAGTGGGATTTTCAAAAAGTGTCCTTTTTTGGTCACTCGCATTTCGCCCTCGAAATTTCTTCAATCGTTCGATCAATTGAAACATATTTTAGCCTATTTTGTAGAGGAGATTTACAACTTTCAAATAGTTTATAACATTTATAACATAACATTCATCGATATCAGAATATCGATGAATGTTTCTATCGTTGAAAATTTATCAAAAATGTTGAAATCTTATGCAATTCTTATGCATGTACCTAATAGATTCATTTCTTTGTTCTTTAAACCTTCTAATCTAATAATTGATTGTTGAGTCAATTTAAAGTTTATATTTCTTACGCATTTACTTATTATTTCTCTTTATTCTCTCAAAAACTATTCAATTTTTATTAAATAATCATTTTTTTTATATTAAGCTTTTCAGAAAGTCTTTTTATTTCTTTTCTATTGAAAAATAATAAATACAGATTTGTTTTGGTTTTAAAAGAAAGTCCGTAAAGAAAGGAAAAGATTTTTTTAAAATAACTAGCATCTAAAAGGACTATTTTTTTAAAGCATAGCTAATTTTTAGTAAAATAATGTACTCTGTTTAAGAATTGATCCAAAAGTGATAGTCTCTCTATGGCTAAAATTTTATCCAAAAAAAACTCATCGATATCAGGTTTCTATCGTTGGAAATTTATGAAAATGTTGAAATCCGAATTTCTTATTCATTTACCTAATAGATTCATTTCTTTGTTCTTTAAACCTTCTAATCTCATTATTTTTTATATTAGAAACTATGATTTTGCTATTCCAAAAAAAAACACTTTCGAACTTTCGCGCGTCTGTAACTCCATTGTCTTTGCAGTATTTGTAAATATTAATATTACCATTGTGTAGCCCTTGAAAAGAGCTTTCAGAAAATGTATAACACTAATAGTTTAAACTCAAAGATAAGGGAGTTACAGACGCGCGAAAGTGACGATCTTTTTTCAAATATCATATTTCATTGTCCGCATAAGAAATGCGGATTTCAATATTTTCGTAAATTTCCAACGATAGAAATCTGATATTCAATTTTGTCTGATATTCAATTCTGATATTCAAATGTCTGATTAACTCTATTTTGATCACACTGCACTTGTCCCTAAAGTGAGTCGATTCCTTTTTTGGTTCGATTCTTTCACTCGCATTTCGCCCTCGAATTTTCTTCAATCGCTCGATCAATTGAATCACATTTTAGCCTATTTTGTAGAGGAGATTTACAACTTTCAAATAGTTTATAACATTCATCGATTATATCATCGATATCAGGTTTCTATCGTTGGAAATTTATCAAAAATGTTGAAATCCGCATTTCTTATTCATTTACCTAATAAAACTAGCTAATCATTTTATTCTTTTTAAGAAGATTCAAGCTAAAGTACTGTCTTACTACAGGACTATGATGTTTTAAAATAACTACAGCAATTAATCATAGATTTTTCACTTTATTTGACTTTTTTGTGACTTGTAAACTCGATTTTAACCTGTTTAAAATCATATAAAGCAAACAAATCTAAACTTGAACTCTTCAGTACAATAGTTGAGCTTCATTTAGCATAACTAGAGCTTTCAAAATCTAAACAAATCTAAACTTGAACTCTTCAGAGTAGAGGAGATTTGCAACTTTCAAATAGTTTATAACATTCATCGATTATATCATCGATATCAGGATTCTATCATTGAAAATTTATGAAAATGTTGAAATCCGAATTTCTTATTCATGCACCTAACATCTATGACTATCCAGCATCTCTAATACCCAGAATTTTAAAAAAACTAGACCTAGATTTAGCACCCCTCTCCTATATTTTTCAATTTCTCATTTAGCTTCACCAAAATTAGAGCCATAGTCCCGAGAAAAACCCGAGTCAGCAGTGTTCCCAATCTTCACCCCTCCACCCCTCCACTCCTCCACTCCTCCGTTCCATTCCCGTCTTTCTCTGGGTGTTCATCGGTGCCGGGGGACACCTCTTTTCCCTTTTCCCCATTCAAAAAGAGAACGCTTTTTATGTAGGCACTGACCGCCGCGTTCGCCCATCAAGAAAAAAAACGCCAGCAAAAAGCGGCTGAAAAACTGAGAGTATGTGGAAAAAAAGTTTCGGCAAAAACTGTGTGTGGTCGGGGGTGAGATTGGGCAAAAAAAAATGGGCAAAAAAGTGGACAAGATAGGCCAAAAAAAAGGTTGTGGAGGCCGCGGAATGGCCTTTTATGGGAATCTTTTGAAAATCTCTTGGGAGATTGGGTACGGTACTAGGCAGCTGTGTGAGCGTTGGAGATTTTCAATTTATAAAATGATGATTTTCTTGCTGGGATTCTGGAAGCTACAGTAAGAAAATGCTCAAGTACAGTTAGTTTTAATATCTGAATGCTTAGACAGTTGGAACTGGGGGAGATCAAAAAGTTGTGCATCGTCGGGACTCGAGCCAAGGACCTTTCGCCTACCCGGCCAGCGTGCTAATCACTACACCACAACGGACTTGATTCCCTCAAGTACAGTTAGTTTTAATATCTGAATGCTTAGACGGTTGGAGCTCGGGGAGATCAAAAAGTTGTGCGACATCGGGACTCGAACCCGCGACCTTCCCGACACCGGACTTGACCCCTTTACTCCAGAAGGGCTGAAGTAGACAAGATACAAGCTTTCCAGTACTTCTAAAGTAAAGACTCACCTCAAAGTTTTTTCAAAATTGATATTTCAAAGATTTCAGAAAAATAAATGAATATCTGTTAAAGAGTTTTGCAAAATAGAGTTGTTTTTCTTAAAACTGAAAAGATTCATAGTAAAGAATCGATGAAAATAACAGTGAAATATTTTGAAAAACATTGAACTCATCTAGCCCTTTATACTACCCCTCGGAGAGGCCCGGATTCTCTTGAAAAGACGATTTTACAGAAATTCTTTTCTCATTTCTCTTCATTTCCTCAGAATTTCCCACTTTTTTCATTCTTTTCCCTCTCTCCGATTTTGTGGGAAAGTGCAAATTCTCGTTCTCTCCCCATTTTTTCACTTAGAAAGTGCAAGAAAAGTGCATCAGCTGGAGTAAAATGAGCAAAAACCATTCAAAAACCAATCTAAAACCCTTAAAATACAAATAAAACAACGAACTAATATCTAAATATGCAAATTTTTGAAAAAAATCATTACTTCGAGTTTTTAAATGATGATTTCAAAGAGATCATTTAAATAAAAAAAATTTTCTCCCAGAAAAGACTTTCAACTTTCTGTTTAATTTAAAATTGTTCAAATTTTATTTAATTTTTTTTTGTAAAATGTGGAGCAAAAGGGGGCGGGTGAAAAGAGAAAAAGAAGGGTTTTTTCTATTCGCACAGCCTGGGACGGGGACATTCCCCTCCCATCTCAGGGTTGGTCATCCCAAAAAACACTCTCACCCCACACCAAACCATAACAAACTCTTTTAGATTTAATATTTCATCTTTCAAAAGATCTAGTAGGCCATGAAGCTTGCCTGGATTACTATAGCTTTTATTTAAGTTACAGAAAGTTCCCCTTCCTTCTCAGGGTTGATCATCCCAAAAATAAACACTCTCACCCCACACCAAACCATAACAAACTCTTTTAGATTTAATATTTCATCTTTCAAAAGTTCTAATAGGCCATGAAACTTGCCTGGAGTACTGTAGCTTTTATTCAAAACAGAAAGTTCAGTTACAGAAAGTTCCAATCGATTAAAGCCTGCTTGTAATAACTGAAAAGCTTCAAGCCTTCTTATCCTATCTAATTGGGAATGGCAAACATACCGTAAATGCTGTATTAGAGCGACTGGTTGCTTTTTTCAATACTCCCTTCGAGAATCGTTCTATTTGAGGGACATCGCTCTAATGCACCATTTACAATATCTCATTATAAAGTACTGTAGACCATTTTAAGTCTAACAAAACTACTAGTCAGGCAGCTTGGATCAGCTTTGAATCTTTGAATCAGATCAGACTTTGAAATCTTTAGCTAAAAGTTGCAGCTTTTCAAACCCTAGAGCAGCCCATTGGCTTCTCTAGGGTTAGAGCAATAAGTTAGAGTCAGGTTAGAGCAATTCAAAAGCAATAAATTGAACCGAACTCAAATCATCTTATAGATTCGTTTTCAAAATCGAAAAGAACAGAAAGATTTCCTTTTGAATCTCTTAATTTACCTGAAGCTCTTTCGGATTGATTTCCCAATGAAATTCCTTTAGGTTTTCCATTGTTGACACTCGTTGATTGATTTCATTTCGAATTTACAATCTTTTCACATCATTTATACTAGAAACTAATTTTCTTTTAGCTATAAAAATACTTTTTTCAGGTAATAATATCTATTAGAGACTATTAGAGAACAGCTTTCATATTGATTCATATTGATACTGCATAATCAATATTAAATTAAGCTTTTTCTTTTCAATCTTTTCACATCATTTATACTAGAAACTAATTTTCTTTTAGCTATTTAAAAAGACTTTTTCAGGTAATAATATCCCTGAAAGACGGTTGTGGGCGATGTGAGGCCATTCCATTTTAACCATGGATTTCATGTTTGAAGTTTCAATTTTAAAGACAAAAATAAATTTTAGAAACTTTTCCACTAGTCAAACTAGACAGACAACAAGGATAAGAACAAATTGAAGATAAGGTGAGTCTTTCGAATTCAAGAGGAAATTGGTAGTAAATAGTAAATATGGGCTTTCCCAGTGACATCAAATTTTGAGTCAATTAGCCAATTAGCCAGTAGTAAATAGTTTTTCTTTTAAGGATTGATAAGAAAAGTTTATTTTCTTTTTTTTGCACTGATTAAGAATTCATATTGATACTTCAAAAACAATATTAAATTAAGCTTTAAATTCTCAGAAGCATCAATTGAGTAGCTTACTGTAACAGAAAAAGAGACCAGTGACATCAAATTTTGAGCCAATTAGCCAGTTAGCCAGTTAGCCAGTTAGCCAGTTAGCCAGTTAACCAGTTAACCAGTTAACCAGTTAGCCAGTTAGCCAGTTACCCTTACCTTAGAGCTAATCCAGTATACAGTAATCAAGTATAAAACCACAATCTAAATGAATGATTGTTTCTAGATTCCTCTCGAATCACGGCCTCGTTTCACGTTTAAAAAGCCTCTCCCCATCCGTCCCCAGTTAGCCCATTAGTCAGTTAGCCAATTGACTCAGTTACCCTTACTTTAGAGCTGATCCGGTATACAGTAATTAAATATAAAACTACAATCTAAATGAATGATTGTTTCCAGATTCCTCTCGAATCACGGCCTCGTTTCCCGTTTAAAACGGCTCTCCCCATCCGTCCGATCACCTCATCCTTTGCACATGATTCCGTTCTTGCGACCAAGTCGACTTTTTCTCATTTCTTCATTCCATTTTTTTTTGCATATAAAATGTGATAATCTTTTTTTATCTTTAGACATTTTTCTTTAGTTTTCAATTGAGCTTTGTAAATGACAAAAATCGCTGAACAGTGCTCGATTTTTGATGAAGAGATTTCGAAGGGGAATCCTTGGTACAGTACTGGACAATGAAATATGATATTTGAAAAACGATCGTCACTTTCGCGCGTCTGTAACTCCCTTGTCTTTGAGTTTAAACTATTAGTGTTATACATTTTCTGAAAGCTCTTTTCAAGGGCTACACAATGGTAAAATTAATATTTGCAAATACCGTAAAGACAATGGAGTTACAGACGCGCGAAAGTGATGATCGTTTTTCAAATATGATATTTCATTGTCCAGTACTGTACTTTGTGCTCTAGAAACAAAAAGGGATTTGATGCGCTAGAGAGTGGGATGAAATCAGATCAGACTTTGAAATCTTTAGCTAAAAGATGAAACTTTTCAAACCCTAGAGAAGCCAATGAGCAATAAAGGCAATGAGCCAATGAGCGCAATGTCTTCGATAAGATTAAGGTGATAATTTAGAGAAATTTTTATCAAAATTCTCTAATTCTTTTAAGCTTTCTGAGAAGTGAATGGAATAAGCGAAAGAAATAAAAAAAAAATCGATATTGCCACGCCGATTTCCAATCCTTTTCTCGATTGAATCGGCTAGGAAAGAATGAAAATGTGGGGAATTTTGGAGGAATAGAGAAAAGAAAAAGAGAATAGAGAAACCTTGAGCACAAATTCATTCATTTTTCATTCAAAATCCATAATCTCTATTTTTTTTTTCATTCTTTTTTTTTGTAAGACAGGGAAATGAACAAAAAAAAGAGCAATTTTGTGCATTTTTCCAAAACGCAAGGCATCTGGTGCACTGAATTCTCTAAATTTTTGTGCACTAGATCCCTTGCGTTTTTTTGATATTGTCTAGCAAATATTTAAAGTTTAGTGCACTAGATCCCTTGTGTTTCCCCTTTCAAAGTTCATCATTCAAAAATCGTTCACAAAGTAGGCGATTCCGAGCCGTTTGACGGTCTTTCTTCTTCATATTACTTTCTAAAGTACTGTAAAATTTCCATTGAATAGTTTTTTCTATAAGAATGATGTTTAACGAAACGAGAAATGAGAAGAATTTTGATGGAAATGTTTGCAGAGCTGTCGTGTTAGACACGTTTCTCGCCGTGATTCTTGTCGTGGATTGAGATTCTCAAAAAATAAAACAAATAGCTAAAATTTTCGACTTTCTCAGTTTAACTTAATTTACCGTAATAATTCTAATAGAAGACCAGTCTCCAATAGAAGACCACCCCCTTGACCCCTTGAAATCGGGACTTTTTAAAACTTCTGTTCAAGTAGAATGAAAGATTTGGGTCCAGATAGTAATATTTTAGCCTCGGCAGTAAAATTGGAGACGTAGTTTTTGAAAAAATTAAAAAATAACTTTTTGGAAAAATTTTTATGTGGTCCCCTACATGGATTTTTTTGAAAGATTTTCTATGGAGTCCGGGCAAGAAAATAATTTCACTTTTAGACATGTTTTTGGCATGTTCTGGGGCAAGGGCTATCGTTTGAAATAGTTTTTAACTATTTTTAATTTTTTGATTCATGTGGGGGACCTTTACCTACTTTTTTGACTCACCAATTTTGGGGGGTTGAAAATTAGAAGACCATGGTCTTCTATTAGAATTATTACGGTAGACTACTTTAAAGTATCTTACAAGATCAATAAGCTGCTTTTTTTCAGCTCTTAATTACCATATTCTCTCTAATAGTAGTGCACCCAAGCGAGCCGAGTTGATGACTATTTTACGGGTTCCAAAGTCTTCACAGAAGCTCAAGACTCTAATCATCGTCAAGATCTGATCGTCAGCTACATTTTCCGACCCCACATCGATAGGTTCTGATAAGCGGTTCTCGAGATTTCAAGGAATTTAGGCAATGCTCAAAGTGCACTACTATTAGAGAGAATACGGTCTATATTGTTAAAAATAGGCTCATTCCGCGTCTTTTTTAGTCAGTCTTTTCTTCCCATGGTTACCGTATTCTCTCCAATAGTAGTGCGCCCGGCCGAGCCGAGTTGATGACTATTTTACGGGTTCCAAAGTCTTCACAGAAGCTCAAGACTCTAATCATCGTCTAGATCTGATCGTCAGCTACATTTTCCGACCCCACATCGATAGGTTCTGATAAGCGGTTCTCGAGATTTCAAGGAATTTAGGCAATGCTCAAAGTGCACTACTATTAAAGAAAATACGGTATTCAATTGAAAATTTTAAAGTTAAATTAAAGTTAAAATTTGTTGAAATTCTTTTTTTCTAAGCTTTTTCCCGATTCTTTGAACAGTTTTTTGGCTTTTAAAAAGCTGAAAACTTGTTTAAATTGTCTAAAATTGCTGAAAATTTGTTGAAATCTGTTTATTTTTAAATGCAACAATGTTTAATTGAATATTTTTTGTTTTTAAGTCTAGAAACTTTCTTTCCAACTTTTTCTTTGTTGTTTCCATGGAAAACCTGCTGCGAAACCTTTTTTTTCTTCAGCTAAACAAGCAAAAGTTTCCATTTATAAACAAAATTTTAACAATTTTAATTGTAATTAAATGTTTTTAAACTTTAAAAATTCAAATTTTGTGTTTTATCATTTGGAATTCCCTCACATCGCCACTTTCAAAGTTTGGGATGTGCAATGGCAATGAATAAACTTGTTAATGACAATTTCTAAGCGATGTGCAATGGAAAATGAATAAACTTGTTAATGGTTAATATGTTAATATGTTAATATGTTAATATATTAATATGTTAATATGCTAAGTCCCAAAATCTATGTGCACAAGGAAAATGATAAGTTTTAAGGAAAAAATTCGCTTAAACAATGACAATAGTTTGCCTTTTAAACTTGTTAATGTGTTAATGACAATTCCTAAGCCATGTGCAATGACAATGAATAAACTTGTTAATGGCTAATATAAAATAATGATAAATAATGATTTGATCTGTCTTCGCACTTAGCGCAGATCACAACCCGCTTCCACATTTACTGAGGCAGAAGTGTAGTTGTCGTAGCCGATGATACTCCGATGGCCGGGCTGGGGCGCTCGGAGGGGAACCCATGGGAGTCGAACCCACGACTAACCCGCGCCGACGACTAACCCGCGCTGCTCAACTTGGCAGATCGGACGGGGTCGACCACAGACCCTTCCCTTTCTGGGCCCCATGGCTAATATATTAATATGTTAATATCTAAGTCCCAAAATCTATGTGCACAAGGAAAATGATAAGTTTTAAGGAAAAATTAATTGCATAATGACAATAGTTTGCCTTTTAGAACTTGTTAATGACAATTTCTAAGCCCCAAAATCTATGTGCGCAAGGAAAATGATAAGTTTTAAGGAAAAAGAATCGCTTAAACAATGACAATGGTTTTCCTTTTAAACTTGTTAATGTGTTAATGACAATTTCTAAGCGATTTGCAATGGCAATGAATAAACTTGGTAATGGTTAATATGTTAATATGTTAATATGTTAATATCTAAGCCCCAAAATCTATGTGCGCAAGGAAAATGATAAGTTTTAAGGAAAAAATTCGCTTCAACAATGACAATAGTTTGCCTTTTAGAACTTGTTCTCAAGAAAAACTTTTTAAAAAAAACCAACTACCGAAGCGTTTACAGGAAGGTTTTTCATTTCAAAAACCTTTAAAAAACAATTTCTTGATTTAAAATCAAATGCAAGGTATTTAAAATAGCTTTTTTTAGAACTATTTATAGTTTAAACAATATTTTAAACAATATTTCTTCAAAATACTTTCGAATTCTTCAATTAATTCCGTCCACTTCATTTTTTTTTCAAAAAGTTTTTCTAAATAAAAAGAAAGATTTCCTTTTTCGTTTTCTTTTGTCAAAACTTAAGAGAACTTTCGATTTTTTTTCTCTCAAATTCTTTTTGATCAATTCAAGGTAATAAACAAGTTAGTGAAACAGTTTTCAAAGCAACATTTAATCCATTCTAGTCGAACGATTGAAGCTAAAAACTTCAGAAAATTCTTATTTTGTAATGCTTTTTTCCGGCTGTAATTTTAAAGTCAATGAGATAGTAAGTCAATGGTAATCGATCTGGATGGTGAGTGCCATCTCAGTCAATCTGAGATGGTACTTACCATTTAGCAGCTAAAAACTTGGCATCTCAGATCGACGGAGATACTAACCATCTTGACTGAGATGTACCATTGACTTAGACACTTACCATCTTGACTGAGATGTACCACCGACTCAGATACTTACCATCTTGACTGAGATGTACCATCGACTCAGATACTAACCATCTTGACTGAGATGTACCATTGACTCAGATACTTACCATCTTGACTGAGATGTACCACCGACTTAGACACTTACCATCTTGACTGAGATGTACTTCCCATCGACTCATCTACTTACCATCGACTTCCCATCTTACTTAGTAACTTACTAGGGAACAGTCAGATTTTGCAAGCGCCAATCCGAATACAGAAATCGTTTGGGCAAAAACTAAAAACGTGATCGTGTTGCCCGTGTCCGACTTGCATAAGTCATATAGCTTTGGTTGGGATTCACGCGAAATCTGACCGTTCCCTAGTTAGTTATAGCTGCCTCGTAAGATGTGCTTTGTGCTCCTCAGCAATCGCTTGCTATCTAGTACAACTGAAAGCCAGAGTATAAAGCTTTTTGATTAAGAAGCTTTCTATCTACACTTTCCTGCATCCACATAATCGCTTACTATCTATCAGAATGACAAGATCACTTGAAAAAGGATTGTTTCCTCAATAGGCTTAGACAATCTTTTCTTTATCCAACCTTAACAAAAGCTTTAAAAAAGAACTTTAAAGAACTTTTATTGTTTAGTTGTCTAGCTTTGGCTGTAAAATCTAATATTTTTCGAATTACGTGGTTTTTCTTTGAGCTTTTCGAGATTTTATCGTAGAAACCAGCTCGTTCTTTTATAGAACACTGAAAGCTTTTCTCTGAAATCCAATCTTTCATTTCAAGATCCAATGTTTATCCCAATATTCTACGGTCTCAGCGTGCTATGCGCTTTACTATTCTACTATACAAGGACCAAGGTAACTTTATTTTATTTAAAAGCTTAATCTTAACTAATATAGGTAGAAACTTGTGAAGATGCGAACTTTAAAGGCTTCCAAAAGACCTATATTACTGTCTATTTGTTGGCTGTTGGTGAGTTTTCTTATCTTTGCTATTTACTGTGAAATTTAGCTGGTGATTGGCTGCAAGGACCTCATGTCTATGCTTTGTATGACAGCTATGGAATGACAAAACATCAAATTGAGGTAATCTGTGAAACATTTCTCTACTAATCCGAATTCAGATCCTTTTCATTGCTGGCTTTGGTTCATCTTTACTTTTTTGGCACAATCATTGGCTCATTTGCGGACAAATTGTAGGCATAAATGAAAAAAATATAATAATGATAGTTTTGTGAAAATTCGTCAATTTGGCATTTCTTGAAAACTAGTTTTTGAATCGTTCTGAAAATTTGGATATAAGCTCCATTTTTGATTCTCTACAACTTTTCTATTGACACCAAAATGGGTTTCTTTTGAAGAAAGTGGCGTCACATACGATAATAGCTGGCAGTTCTCAATTCACTAACCCAATGGATTGAGATTAGCCTTGATTTGCGCAGAAGTGAATGTCCAATTTGAGGATTCGGAGCCGGCCAGAGTCGTTTGGCAAAGGGAGAGGGAAGGGAGTTATGTGAAAGCCCTGCGCCAGACGACGAGCGATTACGATTACGCACAAAGAACACACAGAACACACAAATTTTAAGCGGAACTACTAAGTGTATCTTTTGGAAATTTGGATATAAGCTTGATTTTTGATTCTCTACAACTTTTCCATTGACACCAAAATGGGTTTCTTTTGAAGAAAGTGCTCAAACTGTGACATATGACAATAGCCGGCAGTTTTCAATTCACCAACCCAATAATAATGATTCAGTGGTCGTCGAAACAATTGTCTTCTTTACGCTTTATTGTATGGTGGCGCTTGTGTAACGAAACATTTCAATGACATCAATATTTTAATGATTGGACGGTAATTTCTAAACTTTGTAAGTTATTTAAAGCGTTAAAAGTAAATTTTTAGATTTCTTGGTGGTATCGCGACGTCAATTCTCTATTCAGCTTTCGAAAGTTGGCTTGTTTTCGAGCATAATAAGGTGAAATGGAATAGAAATCGTTGAATTAGCTTGATAGAGCTTTTTGAGATATATGTTAATGTTATTAGGTTGGCAAGTTATAAACGATCGTTTTTTGGTAATGTGTTTTCTGAAAAAACGGCTTATCCAATCAAAAAACGGTTTTCTTGATTCAAAAGCCCTATCCATAATCTACAAAATGGGTTTTTTGAATTTTTGAAAATTTTAATGTAAGAGCATTTTAATGTAAGAGTTCAAAATCCTGGTTTCTAGCATTCATGAGCTAATATATTTTTGAATGATTGCATACTTTTTAAAATAAAACGCTTCATCGATTACATAGTTTCCCAAAATTTCAGAACAATCCAATCTTCGGAAGGTTGATTTTCAAATTAGACTCAAATTTTCTATTCAGCTTTCGAAAGTTGGCTTGTTTTCGAGCATAATAAGGTGAAATGGAATAGAAATCGTTGAATTAGCTCGATCGAGCTTTTTGAGGCATATGTTGATGTTAGATTGAGTTGTAGAAGTGAAATGAAATGAAATGAAACTCTGGATTCATTCAAAAGACTTTTATAAGCCAAAAACCAATCTGTATCTATTTTAGCGTGGCTTCAGCGATGATCTCTTGGGCACAGTGTTCTCAAATGCAGCTTTGGGCAACTCTCTTGTCGCCATTCTTTCCGGTGTCGCTGCTCAAATGGCTGCTGATACTTTTGGCTATGTGTGAGTGATTAAAAAACTTGTAAGTACTAATGACAATGAAAATTTTCTTTTAGTGCTCCATTTGATTTGTCAATGTTAGTGTTGGGTGTAATGTTTTTCCTTGTCTATGGTACATGGACTGAAAATTATGGAAATGAATCAGCAGCTCTTCAGCATTCATTTAAAGAAGCTGCGAATACGATTAGAAATGGTAAAACTGGAAAAAAGATGTTCTATAAGATTTTCTAACTTTAGATGTAAAAGTGCTTTGTCTTGGACTAGTTCAATCGCTTTTTGAAGGAGCTATGTACACTTTTTGTACTCGAATGGACTCCAGCTTTATCACAAGTAGGGATTAAAACCAAGAAAATCGATCTTAAATGATTTTCAGGCAACTGAAGGTTCATCAATTCCTCATGGATATATTTTTTGCTGCTTTCATGGTCGCTACAATGATGGGCTCATCAATTTTCAAAATCATCTCCAAACGGAAAAGACCTGAGGATTTTATGAGGTTAAATAGAAGAATAATAGTTGAAAGCTAAAGCTAAAGCTAAAGATGAACAAGAATCTAAAGCTAAAGCTAAGAACAAGAAAGCTAAAGACAAGAATCTATTATTGAACTCTAATAGAAGTATTACTATATTATTCTACATTACCGTACTCGGACCTTTACGGTTAACAGCCGGGCTAGCAATTATCGGCAGTGGTCAAGTTTTTTAACCAATAACAGCCGGGGTAGCGATCATCAGCTTGCAAAGCTTTTTAACCAATTTGCAACCCGATTTTATATAAGTTTATGTCAATAAATTTTGATAAAACAAATAGGTTCTGAAAGCTGACGTTTTAAGCTATTTAAATCTTATTAAAACTTCTTGATCTGACAAGTTTAAGGTGCTTAAAAATGAGCTGCAAGTTGGCCGAAAAAAATTGGCTTCCGTAAACCGTAAAGAAAAGAAAAAACCAAACCGTGGCAACCGTAAAGATCCCCGTACTCTAATAGAAGAGCGAGAGTAGTCTAAGATCTGTAAATGCTTTCTAATCCATCTACCAAAAAAATAAGATAAAGTTGTCTTAAGAAAACATTGAGAAGTTCAGTTTTAACTCGATTTCCATTTCAGATACGTTCTCTTTATCGCAGCGATTTGTCTCTCCGTTCCAATCTTCATGCCCTCTTCAGGCATCTCCATTTTCATCGGATTTCTCGTTTTTGAGGTGATATTTCAAAGATTTACTAATGTTTTTTGTGTTTTTCCTTTTTCCAGGGTTGTGTAGGCATTTTCTGGCCAGCAATGGGTTTCTTGCGGGGTGTTTATGTGCCTGAAGAAACTCGTTCCACTACAATCAATCTCTTCCGAATCCCCCTCAATCTCATCGTCGTTTTCATTCTCTTACAAGTGAGCATAGCATAATTCGAAATATTTCAAAACCTTTAGAACTTCTCAATGTTGGCAATCTTTCACTTCTGTGTCTTCTTCCTTTTATTGGCTGCTTGTGCTCAGCATGTTCTTTCTACAAGTTCGTTTTGCAAAGTTCTCTACAAAACGAATCGAATGGACACAATCATTCCAATTAAATGCTTTTCTTCAAGTTAAAGATTAAGAAAATGGCATGCAAGCTGTAATTTGCTGCAAAGGATTGGCGTTGGGAAAGGGTTTTAGAAAGGGGTGGGTTCGAGGAATTCTTTATCTTACTAGATCTCACTGGATCTCACTGGATTGGATTCTCAAGGATCAATAATGCTTTTGGCCTACTTTCTGGCACAATTCTTATCTTAGAAAGCAAAAATTGATAGTACAGAGTTGAAAGAATTTGGGTAAAAGAATTCCAAGAACTACAGGGTTGGGGGAAATCACCTGGACAACTTCTTGGAAAAGTAGTTGCCCCAGTTTATTTCAAAATCTCAAGTGTTACTTAGAGAATTGTAGCTCTTAATCTTGGCTACATTTATCTAATAAAAACTTAGCAATTAGATTTCTGCAACTTATTTTAAAAGTCATTGAATGAGCACTGATCCCTATCCGCCGTGCTGCGATTTTTGACGATTTTCTATATAAAAAAATTGTTCGAAAAAGTTTTTGTCAATATTTATTTTATACAAAAATCTCTTTTAATATTATTAATAATATTAAAGATAATTTTGAACTGTTTTTGAACCAAAATAACCAAAATATTAGGTTGATGCATAAATCTTTTCGTTTTTTCTGTTAAAAAGTAACAAATTCACGAATTAATCTATAGTTTGCTCTATAAAAAAAGTGTTTTTTTGTTCAATTTGCATCTTTTTAAATGAATTTCGGTTCACTTTCAAGCAAATTCGAGAGTGAAAAACGCCTTTTTCGTAAAAATCTATAAAAAACTCTACGGAAAAATTGGCTGAATGAATTTCTCTGAAATTTTGGCGAAATATCAAACGTTTTTTTTCTCTATCTTTTATCTATTGACACGAAGATAGGTTTTCTTTAGCTAAGGTGTCTAAACCGCTCAGGCTCAGGCTCAGGCTTAGGCTGAGGCTTAGCCTGAGCCTGAGCCTGAGCCTGAGCCTAAACCGCATCATCGAGTTAGCCCTTTTGACTACCCGACTTCATACTCTCAAGAAAATCCAGGCATTCAATATTTTTAAACCCGTTTTAATGTTATTTTGCAGAAAAATAATTGCTTTTTCTAATGAAATCAACCGTAGTTTAATTGGTGCATTTGTTGGCTTGAAACGGCAGACGAAAAGGAACAAAAAGACATGCATCAACCTAATATTATAACAAAAATCAAGCTAGTGAAGACGTAAGGAAAAAGGTAAAGATTTTGATTATTTTTTTTGATATTTAATTCACATGAATATCTTGTTATCTTGTTATTTTAGCTTTTATAGCGCTGTTTAAAACAAAACTACACACAAATTTTGCTAAATAACTTCCTTTTTAGATCAATTTTTATGTAGAAAATCGTCAAAAATCTCAGCGCCCCGGATAGGGATCAGTGCTCATTCAATGACTTTTTAAATAAGTTACAGAAATCTAATTGCTAAGTTTTTATTAGATAAATGTAGCCAAGATTAAGAGCTACATTTCTCTAAATAACATTTGAGATTTTGAAATAAACTGGCGCAACTACTTTTCCAAGAAGTTGTTTGGGTAATTTTGCTTAGAGTGTGTTCCTTTGATTCGAGCAGTTATTTACTCGAAAAGAACACACTCTAATTAATAGACACATCACTGTGTTCCTCGCGAGTAATGCGTTTTTTTTAAAAAGCACACTTGGCAAAAAATTACCGTACTTTTAGCAAAATTATTGCAAAAAAATGGGGAGTGGGACAAATGCGACGTTTTTTTGCGCACCCGGACATTTGCACCTTTTTCCGCACCTTGCCCATTAGCGCACCTTTAAAAGCTAATATTAACCAATTTCTATTCCAAAAGTTGTTTTTCTAGGTAATTTTAGGGCGTAGAATCGAAATTTTGACATATCAGAGCTTGTGGAAACAAACGGACGGAGTTATACAAAGAGAAAGATCGACAATTTTCTGTAATTTGACCTAGCCGTTTTGTCTTTCAAATTTGTCTTTCAAATTGGTTCCACACGCTCTGTTATGTCAAAATTTCGATTCTACGCCCTAAAATTACCTAGAAAAACAACTTTTGGAATAGAAATTGGTTAATATTAGCTTTTTAGAGCTTTTAACGCGAAAAAAAGGTGCGCTAATGGGCAAGGTGCGGAAAAAAAGGTGCGCAAATGTCCGGGTGCGCAAAAAAGGTCGTGATGGTCCCACTCCCAAAAATGACGCAAAAATGACGAGCCCCGCATTATATACGACACTTTTTAAAGATACACAGCTGTTTAACTGATTTGGTGGAGAATTCCCCTTCAATGTGAAAAATGATTTTTGTTTTATTGGCTTTTATTGCTTTTATATTTTTTTTCGCACAGGCGCACTTTTTTGAGAAAACGCATTACTCGACAATTACTCGAACTATTTACTCATGCAAATTTACTCGAGTAATTACTTTACTCGCGAGGAACACACTCTAATTTTGCATAACACTGGAGCATGGTTAATTTCTCTAAATTTGCAGGCACGCTTGGTTGAAACAAAGCACCTTCCCGTCAAAGTGAGTCAAGATGATCAATATTGATTTGATTAGAGAAAAGAAGATCCCATTTTCACCAGTGATATATGGAAAAGTGATTGTTGAATGTTTTATAGTAAAAAGATTCATTAAAGTCAACTTATCAGCAGTTAAATGTAGTAAAAATAATTTTTTTAATTTGTTTTCTTGTTGAAATGATTAAAGTAAATCGATTTATCACTATTTGCAATTCTTTGGGTTCAATTTTTGCATTAAATTCGGCTGTATTTTGCTAGAAATTTCACATCCTTCTATGCAAACTAGCTGAAATACTCAAAGATTGATCTGTAAAGCTGATTTCATCTTTTAATACTTGATAAACTATTGATAAATCGGATTTAGTTTAATCATTTCTATATAAAATTCATGAAAAATTATCTTATTTGCTGATAATTTTGTTTTAGTTGCTGACAATCAATGTTAATTCAGAGCAAATGTAAGGATGATTTCTAAAATGTATTACCGTATTTTCTCTAATAGTAGTGCACCGAGAGCATCGCCTAAATTCCTCGTAATCTCGAGAACCGCTTATCAGAACCTATCGATGTGGGCTTGGAAAATGTAGCTGAAGAGGAGATCTTGACGATGATTAGAGTCTTGAGCTTCTGTGAAGACTTTGGAATCTGTAAAATAGTTACCAACTTGGCTCCCGCTTGGGTGCACTACTATTAGAGAAAATACAGTAACCATGGGGAAGAAAAGACTGACTAAAAAGACGCGGAATGAGCCCATTTTTAACAATATAGACCGTATTCCTCTAATAGTAGTGCACCTTGAGCGTTGCCTAAACTCCTCGGAAATCTCGAGAACCGCTTATCAGAACCTATCGATGTGGGGTCGGAAAATGTAGCTGACGATGAGATCTTGACGATGATTAGAGTCTTGAGCTTCTGCAAAAGCTTGAAACCGTAAAATCGTCATCAACTCGACTCGCTTGGGTGCACTACTATTAGACAAAATACGGTAATCAAGAGCTGGAAAAGCAACTTACTGACCTTGCAAGAACTCAGGGAAATCAATCTCAAAACACATGTAAACAAGATTCAGACAGAGTGTAACTACTTGCCAAGCGTTTAAAGTTAACTTTGTCAATCAACTTCATCGTATTCTCTCTAATAGTAGTGCACCCTGAGCGTCGCCTAAATTCCTCGTAATATCAAGAATGTCAGAACTATCTATCCGCTTATCAGAACCTATCGATGTGGGTTGGAAAATGTAGCTGAAGAGGAGATCTAGACGATGATTAGTGTCTTGAGCTTCTGCAAAGCTTGAAATCGTAAAATAGTCACCAACTCGGTTCGCTGGGGTGCACCACTATTAGAGATAATACGGTAACTTTCAAAAGCTATTTAAGTAATCTATTACCGTAATCTAAAGAATTTTGAAAGATAATAATTAATAGACTGCTTAGAGATATAATAATTTCCAAAAGATGGCAGAAAATCCATAACACTTTTCCAATCACTTTCCCAAAAGCACCCAGCCATTTTTTTTCAGTTTCTATGTATTTACGGCAGATTTACCTACGGGTATGCTGAATTTTTGTGAAATCTGTGATAATTCTTTTAATCTTTTCTTCTGTGATCTTTTAATTGTGGGTTTTTAAACAATTTTTTCATTCAATACTCTTTTGTCTTTCATTCAAAGATTTGTAACAAAATTTGAATCAAAGTTGGTATTTAATGTTTTTAAATTGCATGAACAACTCCAAAGTTGAGACAAACAAAAGCCGGTTGGTGATCTGGTTGGATATAAATAACAAAAATTCGATTGGATTACTATTGTATTTTTTGTAATAACAGTGTGCACTACTCCAGCCTGCACTACCCAGTCTGCATTACTCCAGCCTGCAATACCCAGCCTGCACTACTCCAGAGTCTGCATTACTCCAGCCTGCACTACTCCAGCCTGTAACTACTCCAGTCTGCATGACTCCAGCCTGCACTACTCCAGTCTGCATTACCCAGCCTGGACTACTCCAGTCTGCATTACTCCAGCCAGCACTACTCCAGTCTGCATTACTCCAGCCTGCACTACCCAGTCTGCATTACTCCCAGCCTGCACTACTCCAGCCCGCACTACTCCAGCCTGCACTACTATTAGAGAGCTTTCTTTTGTTTCTCACTAAAACCAAGTCTTTACCAGGCAATTATAACAGTTATCATACGACCTTCTTCCAAATGAATCTAGTTGCTTTCTATTTATTCAGAAATAAGCAAAGGGAAAACCGTAAATACTGTAATAGTACCCCAGCCCCATAAGGTGGAGTGTTGCGGAAGTCTAGCTTTGAACGAGTTTTTCTCGACAATTGGTTTATGTGTTATAATGAAAGTGCTTAGGTATCAAAAATAGCTGAAATTCAGAGCTATTTTTTGATACCAAAGACGCATTTTG